AAAAAATAAAAGGCTCTGAATCAGTAAACACCCCAAAAAGTCCAAACAGCATAAAAAAAAAAAAAACAATCCGCCTGTTTCCCCACAACAAAGATCAGCCAATCAGATTACAGCGGCATAAAGATGGAGCTCCACTTCACAACAAAAGCTCTTTTTAATCAGTCCTATGTTGCTAAAGTAACAAAAACTTTTCATTTCTTGGAAGCTGGCGGTAAAATTCCTGGCAGGTCGGAGTGATGTGACAGAACTCTCCAGTCTGGAGTAGGTGAGCGCTTCTGCCCACATGGCTCTCACTGTGTTAATCTGCTTCCCCCCATAGAGGGGAGGCGGAGAGAGAGATAGAGAGAGAGTGGTGGAGGGGAGGAGGCTGAATTAAACAGGTCACAATGACACAAGAACGAGCCAATCCCGCCGCAGCGCTTCCTGTTGTCTCCACGCCGGTTCTGCCGCCTCGAAGGAGTGGGGAGGGCGTGCGAGCCCAGAAACAAGCTGTTGTTTAATTCATTCCTTCACACTTTTTGTTCCCCTCCATCCTTTTGTCTTTCTACCAGCTGAATGTTTCGCCGGAGTTTAACATCCTCTATCTAAGCTCTCGAAGATCCGCTCCAAGTGTCTGTTTACATCCAGCCAACAAAGGAAGGGCTCCAAACATTACGACTATTTCAATTCGCAAATAGATGTCTGATTCCTCTTATTTATATCTAGTAAATAAATGGACATGCTTAAAGGTAATTAGGGGCAAATAAAGGTATTTAAAAATAACTTTTAGATTTACTGGTTGTTTTGTTCTGCTGAAGCAGTGCTAACATTTTTTCAAGTAGCTACCATTGAATGCATATGCAATCTTTTTTATAATCGAGAGCTGGACAAAGCTTCCCCAGAGCATGACACTTCTACCTCCGAGCTGCATTTGACCAAAAAAAACATAGCATGATTCACTTTTTACTTTTTATATCAGCAGCAGCAAGTCTGTTGTCACTACTTTGTAAAGATGGACTGATGTCTTACACCAGTATAATAGGTGCAGCCGATAATTTAGATTTTCAAAGATAAGGCATTGAAGTATTCCCTCTTAAAACAAGGAAATTACTGCAGGAAAACGTCTTTATTTAGTATTTCCCAAAATATAGACTGATACTGTTGTTTCTTTTTCTTTTAATGTCAATACCATACATTTTTGGGGCCGATTTTGTTTTTTTCTTCCTCAGTTTACATGATTAGAATGACACATTGATTGAAAATGTTACATAAATCTCAATTGGAACAAATAATTAAGATTTATTTACAAATCAAAGAAAAAATAACAATGAAAAATGGCTGGAAGAGGACATAAAAAAAACTGTAATATTGGACAGAAATATCAGCCGGCCGATGTATCTGTTTATCGTTGGTCTTTTGGCACCATAGGATTGGTGCATATCGGGCAGAGTTAAATTACCTGTAGATAATGGGAAAGGTTTTGCAGTTCTATGGTAGTAGAACAAAAGGCAAGGTTCTGGGGAATTGTCAAGGAGAAATGTTTGATCAAATGCTAACCCAACTGTTTTTAATATTCTTTTTTGTTTCTGCATTTTTTTTTTTATTAATTTTTTTTCCTACTTGCTTTGATTCTGTTTTATCTTCCTGTATTTTAATCATGTAAAGCACTTTGCATTGTCTTTGTACTGAATTGTGCTATACAAATAAATTTGCCTTGCCTTGCCTTGATGACATTTAATAGTTTTTTTGGAGACTTCCTTTAGCGTGTTGCTGTTCTGTTTAGAGCCGGACAGTGAGGATGATGTTTTTGTTAAATGTTTTTAAAAGCTGATTTGTAATTCTGTAAATCCCTTTCCAGACTCATAAGCTTCAACCAACACAAGGTCTAAAGGATTAAAGCGATGTAAAATTAGAGGTAGAGCAACAAAATAACCGGCCAGTATTTTTGGCCAATATTTGCTTTTTTCTTGTATCGACGTTGTTCCTTAACGTGTCTGCATTCATCATTGTTGGATTCAGCAGCCATGTCTTGACCTCACGTTAGTTCATTTATTACTCCTCCCTCCGTTTGCCATGTTTTGGTTGATTTGTTTTTTAAATGCTTCTTTTGTGTTTAAATTGGGACTTATGGAACAGTATTTTCCAATAAGTGGATCTGTTATGTATAATCTTGCTTGAGACATGGCTTCTCCATGTCCTTAAACGTACTAATGAAAAAGGGTTGGACAATTAACTGCATTTGCAATATAATGTAAGAAAAAAAAAAATGCATTTTTCAAAATCACACTGACCGGCTGCACAGTGCGAGCGTTTTACTCCCATTTGATCCTTGCATTTGGTGCAAGTAGGAAAAAAAGGTATATATTTCACTCTTTTCATTTGTGTGTTACCCCTAAAATAAGTCATGTTTATTTTATGTAAAGATATATGTTTGCCTTTTATTGAAAAATAAGAAAGAGAGGGATTTTTTTCTCCTTTGAAAAATTTAATGATAAATTTGTATGGGGACAACACAGAGCAAATTAGTTACGAAAGTTATAAGAGGCATTTGTGACTTAAAAAAAGCAGCCTCAAGAAACAGTCCTTGTTATTGTGAGTTGTTATTTAAAAATAATTCATCGGATCCCTAAATTTTGTCTGTGCTGCTAAATATTTCCATCTGGGGAGCACTAGTGCTCCTGATAAAAAATAAAAAGCCAAGTGTACACCCCTTTATTTCTCATCATTGTGTCATTTTTATCATCTAAATGGAGGAAGAAAAAGGAACAGTCTCCAAGAATCGCATTGAAAATAAAGATTAAAAAAGATAAGAACAGTAGCAGGCTATTACTGCAAATAATGCATTGATTTAAGGTCTTATTTTTAAAGTTACTAAATTGACACCATCATTCAAAAATTTTAGCAGAACCACCCAATTGTCGTTTTTTTTTTTTTGCATGTGTGTCCCTTCAGGTGACTATATGTGCTAACTGAGAGAAGAATAGAGGTGCGTTAAATGATTCCACTCTGGGACGAATCAACAAGCCTTAAAGCGTATATTTTGCTCATTTAAAATTATGTTCACACAAAAATTGGCTCTAAAAAATAAGTGTTTTTATTAAACCATAAAGAAAACAAAAAGGTTGTGAATCTTGGCTGATGGAGGAGGTGGTAAACAGAGGGAGGTGGGACGATCAGGGCTCATCTAGAGGCTTTGAGGCATCACCAAACCAATCATAAAAGGGTAATGAAGTCATGATGGGAGCCACCTCTGGTCTCAATGTCAAAGCCGCAGCCGGGTCTGCAGTTGCACCCGATTGTTAAAGCACACACGTACGCAGGACCAACCCCCTCCCTACCGCCACCCATGCACACCAAAGCACAGACAGTGATGTATGAGGTGCAGAGGAAGGTGGCCGTGCACTGCGGGTCATACGGGAGGGGGCCTCAGGAATAAGGCTATGTTTTTACACCTTTATCTGCTCACCTGACTTGGATTAAACCATGAATGGCATGCAAGGCCTGAAGTGTTCAGAAGGTTTTGTTGCTATTTTTCTCATCCAGCTACACAAGTTTCTTTAAAACCACACTAATCAATTTGCAAATGAATGAAAATGAAGGAGCGTTCCCGTCGAACCCTTAGAAGACAGCATTTTGGAGGAAGTCGCCTCCTGCATCAGGCTGCTGTTATGTAATTTTTACTGCAGAGCCTCTGGCTGGAGGCCATCTCTCCTCTGCATCCATCCACCTCCTCATCCCTTCGTCCTACTGCTGCATTCCCACCAGCCGCCTTCACCTTTGCTCCTATTTACATTCCAGTGATTTCTTTCTTTCTTTTTTTTTTTTTTTTGAGTGTTTAACAAACCATTCTTCACCCAGTTATGAACAACGGTACCAAGAAACGGGCTTCTCTAACTTCTTTGCTTCGCTGCTTGCAGAACAAACTCTTCCAGCTCCCTCTAATAAATTATCCATCTCTTTGTGTGCTTTAGAGAAACGGAAATCTGGATGATTCCTTACATAAACTGTCTGCATTAAGCATACATTTAAGACCGCAGTTTGGTCACCCTGCTGTAGAACCTCTGGAGGACCAGTTAAGGATTATTTGGACACCAGAACGGAGGACATATGTGACCTAAACCAAATCTTCCTCTGCATAAAGTGCTTTTTATACCGACAGTCAAATACAACATAAAAACTAGAAATGCATCAATCCAGTTTCTTTTGTTCCAATCCGATACTGATACCTGGGCTGAGCATATCGACCGATATCGATCTAATTCAGCAGCTGAATGATTTATATTTTTGCCATATGAGTGAAGGCTTTAGTACGGAAGAGGATTAGGGCCACTGAAAAAAAAAAAATTCACTGATTTTTAAACTTTATTTCAGTTTAACATAGGAAAAAAAGTCAGAATTCTGACTTTAATCTCAGAATTGTGGATCTTAATGTAGATGGGCACCATGAAGAAGGAGATGTGGAGCACTCAGCTTCACTGACAAAGATGAGAGTTGTTTGACGTGGCCAGTGACACATTGGTGGAAAATGACGGAATTAGGCAACTTTTTACGTGCCCGAGGGGTCCCATCATTAATGGAGGAGCAGAAGGTCATTAAAACAAGAGAGCTAGTCTCTAAAACAGACATGGCTATGGCTTGATGCTTACATGTTTGTTAGCTGTCAGAATTCTGAGATTAAACTCAGAATTCTAAGAAAAAAGTCAGAATTCTGAGATTAAAGAAATAAAATTAAAAAATCAGTTAACTTTTTTTTTTTTTCAGTGGCCCTAATCCTCTTCCATACTTTAGCCTTGACATAAGCATTGTTAAAAAAAAAGGCAGGTAATGAGTTGACACAAATATAAATATACTTTACATTATCTATTAACAAGTAAGCAGCAAAAGGTAAGAAATAATAGATCAATGTAAAATGCACTGGACTGGATCTCTGATATAAAATCACAGACATGTGATCCAGCTAATTAGTAAATATCAGAGCCAACCTAAAAAAAACAGGATATCCATTCTTCTATGAGGAGGAAGATATTAAACGCATTCAAGGTATAGTGGAGGATGTTCTTTTTCCGGGGGTGGATCATCTAAATAAGTGGTCCGCCTAATTGTCAATCATTCTGGTGATATTTTTCTGTGACATAGTGGAAAAATTGCAAATCTTCTTTTGGAAAGCAAGCCTGTATGAGCGACGCAAACAGCAACTTTTGAACAGAGCGTGCACGATGAGAAATGGGCTTGTGCACGCTCTCGTGCGCGTTTAATACCTTCCCTCTCGTTAGCGGGTACAGGTTTGTGCATATGCATATGGAGACGGCGGGTCTTTTTTAAAAATTTGCAAAAATCCTCCACTATACCTTTAATGTAAGTGGTTTCTGATTAAAGAGTAAAACAAGGATCTTTTTTGGTAAGTATAGATAGAGCATCGCTCCGAGTTTACAGTCTTCAGTGAACAGTTTTTGAGCAATCCCCTCTCCTTCAAAACACAGGGACTCAGATGCAGTTGCTGCAACCAGTGTGCAGAGCGACTCTCCTCTGATTCTCTATTGAACATACACTATATTGCCAAAAGTATTTGCTCACCTGCCTTGACTCACATATGAGCTTAAGTGACATCCCGTTCCTAATCCATAGGGTTC